TATACTGTTAACAGACTACCCCGTATTTTTTAGCAGATCTGCATCTCCCTTTCTCACTAATACATCACTTTCAGTGTCCCTGGTAGAAAAGTACTGCATAGGCGAAACTACGTTTTGACAACATGTGAATGACCTTAGGCCTCATGATCTGGAAAGCAGCGAAGTTGGGCAGAAACCCTTCCTGGGCCCTGGATTAACACAGAGCCCTAAGGCAAAGCTCTGCTTTGTTAATTAATAATTGTGTAGCTGCAGCACATTATGCCCAGAGATTCATTTCATTCATTTAGAAAATAGCAACGATATTGTCTACATTCTGCTTTTTGTGTTCTATTCACACTGGGACAAATCTGTTAATTTGAGTGTACATTGTATGCATATGACAGAAGAAAAAATATCTAAAGTAAAGGGTAGGCAGATACTGAAAAAAGTGCTTTGTCTAAATCACAGCGGAAGCCCTCTGGTCATAGAAGAACAAAAGGAGACTCAGACAAAAGAGAGGGATATGCTGCAAGGAAGAGAAGCAAAAGCAAAGGAACTTAAACACATCAACACAGAGCACCGCCTCCTCGTTAAGTGGAGCTCTGGCCCACCTTCTTTTCCTAGTCTTGCCTATAGTGTACAGCTTATGTCTGCCAGACCACCACTGGAAAGACAGAAGGACATCTGCAAAGCAATACCTTCCAAATTTTACAGTTTTTCATTCATCTTTTGTGTGTACGTCTGGGTGGGAGAGTCCAAGAGAAGGTCTTCCTCTACAGCTTGGGCTGGGCTGGCTCGGTCTAGGTATGTCAGACTGACTTGAACCTTCTGCCTCCGGGCTCCAAGTGCTGGATTACAGGTGGGTAACACCACTCATGGCTTTGTTTCTCAACCTTCAATATTCTTGTTCAATCAGTTCTTTAGGAAAATCAACTCTGGAGTCCTTCAAAAACATGAAAACTACCTTTCATGGCTGGGCATGGAAACACATGCCTGTAATCTCAGCACTTAGGAGGCTGAGGCATAAAAGACTATGGTGAGTTCAAGGTCAACCTGAGCTACTTAATAACACCCTAGCTCAAAAAGCAGACCAGCCAACGAAACAAACAACTAAGCAAAGAACTCTCTCTGGTAAGAACAGCTTGAAAAGATATAGTGGGGCTCAGCACCGGTAAGAGCACCGGCTGGCCTTCCAAAGGACAAGCTCAGAACTGCTGAGAGCGGGGTGACTCCTTTCTTAGCACTTTTTCCTACTCCCATGCAACCCCTCAAGTCTTCCTGCAAAATTCTAGAGATTGCAAACCATTTATTTAAAAAATATAATTTAAAAAATTGGAAATATTTAAATATATTTAAAAAATTGGAAACCATTTATTTAAAAAAAAATCTAACAACTCTCCTATACATGTATCTATAACTCTCTCACATATATGTGTGTATATACATATATACAAACCCAGGTCTGGTGGCACACACCTGTTATCTCAGAATTTGGGAGGCTGTCCCCGAAAGTTTGTGGTCAACCAGGGCTACAGTTGAGACCCTGTCTCAAGAAACAAGGCAACAGCCCCCCAAAAGCAATAGACACTAAGGAGTTTATTAAAGGCTCTTTAGCTTGTGGGAATACTGAAGTAACCAAAATGGTTTACGATCTCTATCAATTTTTCTAAGTCTGAAATATCATTAAACGTATTTACTAAAATAATGATAAATTAAACATATACCTAAACTTACATTTAACTGGCTTTTAGTTATCTTTCACTGTATCTTCCCATTCTTTAAAATGTCCTAAATTAGAATGTAGTCACCCACACAAACATCTGAATGACAGGCTGGGCGGACAGCTTAGTGGTAGAGTATTTACCTAACAAGCAAGTGCCCAAGTACAATCCTGGCCTGGGGGAAGGAAGTCTGAGTAAAGATAAAACATGATTGCCTACAAGTACTGAAAGAAGAGGAGAGGTCAGGCTGTAGCTGATGAATTTAAATAAATATGCATGCCCTTTTACCATGACTTCAAATGAGTCAGAACAGAAGAGTTGGTCACTCAGAATCTGTCCATCAGAGGTCTGACACTATGGAAGCAGAATGCAAAGATCTCTCAAAGCTATAACCTCTGTAGCGAGCTATATAATCTAAACACAGAGATGAGGCGCTGCCCGGCCGGACCTCATTACTGCCCATCCCAGTGAGGCCATCTTCCTGGCAGTGACAAAGGCCAGGCCAACATCTGTTCGAAAGCTTCCACCCACAGATTTTGTTCGGCATAGAAATAGGAATGAAACATGGCTGAAGTAGGAACTACACTGGCCTTACATCTTTCTACAGTACTTACAAATTAAGTGACAAGCACCTATGTAGACCTACAGTAAACTGAAAACTTTTAGGAAGAACCTACACATTTCTACACATACAAATCAAGAGATTTAATAAATACTCTGTGGACAGTAGAAAAAAAAAACCTCATGATACAATAAAAGCTGGACAAAGAACATCCTAGCTTAGTTTCTCTCTTAAAAACCATATAATGTATTTAGGCAGCAGAAGAAAAAAATCAACCCCTCCAGGTTAAATTGTGGCTAAACTGAACTACTCCTTGAGCACACTCAGATGTATCACTCCTGGTCCACAGAGCAGGGACGAGCGTGTAAGCTTCAGCTTCTGTTTGTCACTTTTAGAAAGGCCCTCTGGCGACATGTCACATCTACATCAATAGCGGCTGTGAGCAAAGGCCTTGTCTGACTATTACTTTCTACTCATCTGCGTTTTGTCATCACAGATCCTTCCCCGCTTGTAGGGTACTATCATTTTAAACACCGTATATGTTTATTACTGTCTGTTCCTTTCCCCATTAGGAAGAACCTTTACTTGACAAGGATAGAGAATCATGTTTTCACTAGTCAGTAGTGTACCTGTCAACAGTGCCCAGCACACTAAGATCAAGTAAGTAAAGCCGGGCGGTGGTGGCGCACGCCTTTAATCCCAGCACTCAGGAGGCAGAGCCAGGCGGATCTCTGTGAGTTCGAGGCCAGCCTGGTCTACAGAGTGAGTTCCAGGAAAGGTGCAAAGCTACACAGAGAAACCCTGTCTCGAAAAAACAAAAAATCGAGTAAGTGTGAATGAATAGATGAATATACAAATGAGCATATCAACCCTTGCACAGCCCCCTCTTCATGATCTTCATTCATGAATGCATTAATTTTGTGAGGACTTTGGAAGTTAAGGAGATATCCAGATACTGGACAGATGGTTTGTTGAAGCAGGTGTTGAGAGGTAGCTGCTGCAGATAAACTACAGAACCAAGAGACACATACATTTAACTCCACTGAATACAGAAGGAAGGAAGGGAGGGAGGAAGGAGAGAGAAAAGGAGGGAAGGACGGGGGAGCGAGGGAGGGAGGGAGGGAGGAAGGAAGGGAGGGAGGGAGGGAGGGAGGGAGGGAGGGAGGGAGGGAGGGAAGGAGGGAGGGAGGGAGGGGAGGGAGGGAGGGAGGGAGGAAGGAAGGAAGGATAGAAGGACAGAAGGAAATGAAAACGCTACTGCTCCAAACACTGGAGATCTTATTTGCTAAAGCGCTGTGAACTGCTCTTCCCTTCTCCTTCCACAGGACTGGCTAAGTGGAGGACTTCACCTTGGAAGACTGATGGTGGCGGGGACTACAAGGAGTCGTTTCTGTAAGAATGTGTACTCCTGTGGGGTGTGCACAGTTTTAAGTGAAATTCTAAGGGTTAGTAAATATGGCAACAGAGTCTAACATTTAACCATTTAAAGCTACACTGTAACGAATATTCAAAGCATACTATAGTCTCCATAAGAGAATATCTAATCCCAAATACTGGCATTTAAAAATTTGCAATTTATCAAATAAGGAACAAGAATCAAATCTGTAATTCTGAAATTTTCTATTCAAGACACCCTGAAGGCATTCCAAAATATTGTGTTCCGGAAAATGACAATGAAAAAACCGATATTGTAAAATCTTAACTCAATGAAAAAAGACCAACCACTATTCATAAAGAATTATCTATGAAAAAATAATAACAAAAGTCCATCCTTATAGAGAAGCAGTGCCAGATGTAGTAGTATACACCTATAATCCTAGCATTCAGGAGGGAGGCAGAAGCACTCTCCACGTTATTTGCTGAGTAGAATCTCTCACTTGAACCCAGAACTTGTTTATTCAACTAGCGCAGATAAGCAGCTTCCTCCAGGGAACCTGGTTCTGACTCCCATGAGCATTACCACAATGTCTGTTTTCTAAAACAATCTACCTGTTGAACACAGAGACTAATGGCTGCGGAAGGTACTGAGAATAAGTGATGATTGAGTGCACAGCCCTAAAAAGACACTTCTATCATCCCCTCTCAGGCTTACAGTCTGGACCCACTGGTGACCTCCCAGGCTCCAGTGTGCACTTCGACTTCAGTGGTCACACAGATGGTCCTGGTTAAACTAAATGAGTCACACAACAAACCCAACGCCATGAACCTGGGAAGGGTCTGGTAGGAAGGAGAAAGTGTCCATTGGGATGGGAGGGAGAGAAGAGAGAGTAGGGAGAAAGAGTAATCAAAATGTACCATGTATGTATGAGATTGTCAAAGAACCAAGTTAATTTAAAAAAATCGCCTGTGTTCAACAGAACAACAAAAGGTTGTAGCACATCAACCTTTATAAATACACACGTATGAGGGGAGGTATGCATTCACATGTATATGGAGACCAGAAGTCAACATCACAACACTGGATGCCATTTTTTAGGCACTGTCCATCATGTATTCTTTTTTGAGACAGGGTCTTTCATTGGCCTCAAGCTCCCCAGGCAGACTTTACTGGCTGTCCAGTGAACCCTAGGGATCCACCTGACTCCCAGCACTGGAGTTACAGGTACATGTACCACACCTGACTTTCTGTGGGGTCCCAGGGCTGGAACTCTGGTCCTTCTGATTGCAGAACAACAATTTACTGACGTCATTTCCCTACTATGAACATTTCAACGTCACTTGGAAATGATTCTACTTACTCGCCATCCACGTCTGGTCTTTTACACACACAGTGAAACTTGCCACCAAAATCTATGTAGAGATCATCCTCCACAATATGAAAGATCCGTCCAATGACCAGTTTGTCCTTGGCGGGCCCCAGCTGTGTCAGTGGAGAGTGTCGCAGCATGGAAGCAAAGGATTCCACATTTTTTGGAGACTCCTAAATATGAGAAGAAAATATTTATATACATGAAATCCATCAAAACGATGAGAGTAAGTTTAACAGGGACTTAAAGAGGAAATTTCGCAAGAGCAACTTGCTGTACAATCACAGTGTGCAAAATTAATTCAACCAAAAGTGGAAGTCTGCTCCATAAGAGTTAAACTCTTTCCCTTCCTCTTCTCCCTTTCCTTCTCACAAAAGAACCACAGCCAAGGGCCTGGTAAAGGAGAGGAAAGCAGGCAGGACATAGGCAGTGCTGTCAGATCCTGGGCTCCTGAAGCACACCCAAGGAGACCACACTGACTTCACTCCCAGAACTGAGCATCTGCAAAAACAGTCTAGTCCAGAGAGAGTGATTCCATCACAAATACCAGTGTAAACATGAGTCCTTGTTATAGAATAATTGTAAACAAATTGGGTTTGTCTTCACACCCCTCTTTTTCTGATATCAACAGCCTCTAACTCTTATGCTGCAAACTTTCTAGGAGTCTTCTGCGGGGATCTACTTGAAAGTTGCACACAGGATGTTGGGAAAGTATTTTCTTATTCTTACAATTGTTTTCAGACATGCTTCTTTAGAATCTGTAAATACAAACTTGTGTTTTCCAGTCATCTTTAATTTGAATATAGGATGTGTATATAGATGTTGGTGCAAAATAAGTACAAGGTTTCTATTTGTGAGAACAAATTACAGAAGAATATTAATAATTTGATCTGACTCCCTCTACCTACCTATACCCTGAGTTATGAATGAGTTTTACATATTACTCAAGGATTATTAATCATTTAGTCGCATGTACCTTCAATTACACAACTACATTTGTAACAGAATTTTAATGCGTTACTCTGAAGATTAAAAACTCAAATGCCCGGCCCTGTGAGGATCCCTGGGAGAACGAGAGGCCAGTCTGGTGGAAAGAGTCACTACTTAGCCTTTTAAAAATGCATTCATAGTGAAAAAGAAAACAAGCAAACAAATAAATACACATTCCATTTTATACAGAAGACAAAACATGCCCAAGGTGTTGAATTTGGCTCACGGACCATAATTTTATGAGCTCTGCTTCAGGGGAAAATGGGCAAGACTGATGCTATGTCCCACAAGTGCTACAGTGTGTGTGTGGGGGGGGGGGGGGTCACAGTAGGAAGTAACATACTGGAAGGACTCCTCAGCACAAAAAGTCAATACAAACCAAAGCCATAGCAGTAGACCTGGACACCAGGGTGGCCAGAAGTGCATCCCACCAGCTTATAACTCCTCAATTCACATTAAAGCTCCCCAGAAAAGTATCTTAAAAAACAGATCTTGCTGGGCAGCGTTGGTGCATGCCTTTAATTCCAGCACTTGGGAGGCAGAGGTAGGTGGATCTCTATGAGTTCGAAGCCAGCATGATCTACAGATCGAGTTCCAGGACAGCCAGGGAGGTTACCCAGAGAAACTGTGTCTCAAAAAACAAAAACAACAACAGCAAAAAGCAGGTCGTGCAGAAAGAAAAAGGAAAAGCACACCCTAGAGCAGTGGTTCTCAACCTTCCTAATGCTGCGACCCTATAATACAGCTCCCCATGTCGTGGTGACCTCCAATCATAAAATTACTTTCATTGCTACTTCCTAACTGTACTTCTGCTACTGTTATGAACTGTAATGTAAATATCTGTTTTCCAATGGTCTTAGGTGACCCCTGTGAAAGGATCATCTGACACCCCCCACAGGTTGAGAACTACTGTCCTAGAGTACACTGCCCAGCCCTACACAGAGCAGGGTTGCACCAAGGAAATTGGGGAAGAAACAAGGCAGCCACTGTGTTCCTCTGCTGGAAGTCACCAAGCCACCCACAGCAGTCGCCACCAGAGCAGCAGGGAAGACCAGACAGATATCAGTGTAGGGTCTCACTGTGCTTGTAGCCAGGAGGGCCCCATCCACACTGACCCCAACAAGTTTCTTCTTAAATTTGTTTTCAGCTGACTGGGGCCACGGCCCAAGTCAAACAAGAGGATCCAGAAGTTAACCATGCACTCAGGGCCCACTCCTAAAACACACACTCTCCCTCAGAACCATGAAGAGACGCCTGGGTAAGAGCAGGGAGGCAGCAAGTGGCACTTCTCCCGTGGGTTCAGAAAGCAGCATGTTCAAGTATTCAGTAAAGATTCCCTTGGGCTGGCAGAGGCTCGGTGGGTACGGGTGCCTGCTGACAAGCCCGACGCCGAGTTCAATCCCTGAACCCATTTGGTAGGGAGAGCCGCAATAAGTTGTCCTCTGACCTGCACAGGCAAGCTGAGACACGTGCACAGACACAAATAGGTGAAATAAAATGAATTCCCTTGAGAGTCTGAGTAAATCTGTTTCAAACTGTCTTTTCCATTATACGTTTTTCTGAAAGTCTATTTTTAAATCAAATGGAAACGAACCATTTCTCTCTCTTCTGTCTCCTTTGCCTTTAACACATCTTAAATGGGGCAAATGTGTTCTCAGTGAGTGAAAGAGTCCTGGGTTAGCACCTAAATCTGTTCTTAAACTGTATATTCATCATCACTAACTGACTTGTGGAAGCCATTTTAGATAATCAGATACAAACCAGAGTCTAGAACCATCTTTGAATTGCTAGGGCCTAAACCAAGCTATATTCATTTGCTTGTCAAGTGATTTCTAAAAACATCAAACATGACAACTCCCACAATACATTCTGACAACAGGGAGTCCTGAGTCCTGTTTCTGAAGCGTCTGGACCAACACTCAGCTCCTTGCGATGCTGATACTGCTCACTGACAGTAGACACAGTCAACCGCTGGTCTGCCTCACAGAGCTCAGTAATGGAAAGCATCGCCATAAAGCTCATTCACAGATTAGTCAGGGAAGGCAGAGATCCTGGGACCAACTGCATGCTAATTTATGTTGTCTGTAACTTCAGCACTACAGAAGCCAAGGCAGGGGCATTGTCATGAGTTCAGTATCTGTCTAGTTCTTGCTGAGTTCCAAGGTATACTAGATTATGGAGTGAGAACCTGTCTCAGAAAGAAAGGATAGGGAAAGTTGGTTGTGGAGCTCAGACTTCCTACTACTCTCTTGTACTTTTTTTGTTTGTTTGTTTTTGTTTTTCGAGACAGGATTTCTCTGTAGTTTTGCGCCTTTCCTGGAACTCACTTGGTAGACCAGGCTGGCCTTGAACTCACAGAGATCCTCCTGCCTCTGCCTCCCGAGTGCTGGGATTAAAGGCGTGCGCCACCACTGCCCAGCTTCTCTTGTACTTTTTTCTTCATTAGAAGACTGAAAATTGCCAGACAGTGGTGGTGTATGCCTTTAAGACGAGGCCAGCCTGGTCTACAGAGTGAGTACCAGGGCAGCCAGGGCTACACAGAGAAAATTAAAAAGAAAAAAAGAAGAGGATGACTGCAAATTGGACAGGACTACCTAGGTAAACAGGGAGGAAAGGCGAAGGGGGTTCAGATACAGGGAACAGGACAGCTTTGATTCATTCACTTCTCAAATAGGAACTGCCTGTTGAATGCCACTGTGGACTGACCGTGAAATGCCTCCTGTTATTGCTGCCGTCTTGTAAGGTTGTGGAACTTCTAGGAGGGGGAACCTTGCTGGAAGCAGGTCAATGGGGGAAGGACTTGGGAGTTTTATTAGGCCAGCCCACTTCCGGTAGGCTCTCTGTCTCTATTCTGCCATATGTAGGGAGGTGGGAGGCCCCAAATACACACTCCTGCCACTGTGGGGCTATTTCCAGCATGCCATCGACTTCGTGATCAACTGAACCCACTCAAATAGTGAGCCAATGATAACACACACTTCCTTAAGTTGCTGCTTGTCAGGTATCCGGTCACAGCAGCAAATAAAAGTAATAAATAGACGTGCCCTAATATGAACCATGTGAGAGAGCAGAGGAATGCAGAGTTAAAGCAATGTGACAACAGTTTTAGGGTCCAAAAAGTCACTGAAAGCAGTAGCTATTCACACTTACGTGCTTACAAATTTGTAAGGAGTTGGGAGTCCAAAGAGAATTCTAATCAATGGTGTGACAACATTTGTTAATTGATAAGAAAGTTTTGTTAGTAGTATGCAAGATACACCAGAGAAAGGAAGGAAGGAAGTTTTATACATTTTTTATTACATAAAACTACATAACATTTCAGGGAATGCTGGCTATCTGACAACTTATAAAAAACTGTATATATGCTTGTGCCTATTAATATAAACATAAGCTTGTCTAGTGACAGTATACAGACACAAATCCCCTCCAAAATTACACCAAGTGCTAAATGCAAGTTTTAGCCTAGAACTATTTTTTTCTTTCTTTACATTATCTACAATTAAAAACTCTAGACTACAAAGAATATGTATCACTTTAAATACTTGATATATGGTGTATATGTAACTACATTATCATGTTTATAAGAACATTTACTATGCAGCTTTAAATCAAAAGTTACTATTACTGAAAGAAACAAGGAACATGAACTAGTTCGACTACTTGGCTTAGTAGATGAGAACTAAGGCAGCAGAGTAGGACACAGAATGAGGTCAGAAAGATTTTACCCAAACATCACAAATTAAACCATAAGAAAAACATGTGGGCAAAGAGAAAGACTAGAAACCCCAGGAGAAGGCTACTAGAACTGGCTGAAGTCACTGGTACAGGTACAAAGCACTCCAGCATCTGTAGATGACCTGTGACTCACTGCAATGCTAAGACACACACCCCTGGGTGAAGATTTAAGATACTAAAGAGACATACGATGCATGAAATTCTATGCAGAACTACATATAACAGACAATCTAGGAGTAAGCCCAGGCTAAGCAAGTGAGCCTAAAGAGCCCACGCTACGTGACATAAAAGCCCTAATCCTTCATATAATGCTGCATTTGAGCTATTAAGCCCCCTTTCTCTGCTCGGGGCTACTCCCACTCCTTGGGAGTTTACTGTGCCCCTGATTCTGTCCAATTCCGCCTTTCAGGACACAAGAACCTCTAGAACTCCTCTGGAGGTGGCTATA